TTCATTAATATTGGAGAATTATTTCTGAGAATGATTTATGATCCTTGAGTCAGCTGTTGAAATATGTACTCCTTTATCAGTTGTGAATGCTAATAACACGAAAATTCGACCGCTTAAAGAATTTTATGTGGTGAGAAGATAGAAATGTATTTCACCAAAACTTGACAAAGATCATTACCAATATACATTGTCTAACAAGATTCGTCTGACAAGGTCTGAGGTTCAATTCCTCATGGAGACTCAAAATCTTTTCTTTGTCCGATGCTCATGACTGGACGAAAAAAAACATCTTTCTAAATTTCTAAGATTCGTAACTTACCAAGAGGGGAAGACTTTCAATTTGTGTGAGAATTGTCCCAGATACTCTTTTTAAAGGTTGAAATTTTCCGTTAAAAACGTTCGGCTGCATTTACTGACTCCCTTTCCCGGTTAGAGTCTTCCTTGATTGCAATTGCAGTCATGGAGGATTGCCGCTTAAGTATCAATTGTCAAGGGCTCGAAACCAAACTCTTTTCATTTTTCTTACAAAATTTTACCGAAAGCAATAGGTATGAGTAATAAGGCGTAAACAGGATGTTTCACACATCAGTGCTGTCACCAAGTCACTGTTAAAAATAGAGTTTCTAAGAACTGCAGGAACTCTCGTTCTTTAGTCTTGACTCGAGACACCTCGTGTATCTTTCTTACTTGGTCTGTACCCAATCGTTGATGAATTAAAATGCGGTCTGGCCCTTGAAGTTTTGAAATTTTCTGTATTAGAAAAAGAGTTTTTGTGCATGTTTGTTGGTTTAGTTTAGATAATCAGGGGGCTAGATAACAAAAGTAAGTTCCAGATGTTTTACTCTATTTCCGGCCGGCATGATGAAAAATTTCATGAATTAAGACACCTCGTGTATCTTTCTTACTTGTTTTGTACCCAATCGGGGATGAATTAAAATGCGGTCTGACCTTAGTAGTTTTGAAATTTTCCGTTAAAACGTTTGTTTGCATTTGCTTACACTGGTTGGAGTCTTCCTTATGGCAACGGCATTTCATTGGCATTTTACCGTAATATGCATCAGTGCTCGCGCGAAATTTCTCGTTTCCGGTGGTTCATGCACTGTTGCCAGTAGTTAAGGTTGTGTCACAAACAAACCACCTCTTTGAGCTCAGTTAGTAAGATTAAGGCCGGCTGTCAAAAGACCAAAACAGTGGAAACAGTCGGAGCTAGATTTTACATCTAATCGTATCTTCAAGCCAACACTTGCCGTAAGTCATAAATTCCGAAAGACTTTGTTTTCATTCAACCTTTTGGTAATCTCCTCCCACACTTTCCCTCTCTCTCTTGTTGACGTTTTGAACCTGAAAGGCTCTGAGACAACTATTATCTGAGTAAGTCACACTCCTGTTTCCATTGTTGATCTGTTTTAGGTTATGAAAAATGAATAAATGATTAATTAACTACATTGATAAATAATTAAACAAATAAATCTATAATTTGTTTAATTATT